GGAATGACATCTTGGCTTAATTCCATTGGGATGCGTGTTCTGTGCCAGATTTTATTTTGCTCAGCTATCAATGAGGCTGTTGTGGAAATGTGGGTTTTCTTTGCTGTGAGAATTTATGTGTACAAAGAGACCTGCTTTTCAGAAAGAACATTGAGAACCCAGAGCCTAAGAGGAAGGGTTATTAAAGTTAATGAACCAGGGTAACCTTATCCAGAGGGTGCCCAGAAACACCATAAAACAAAAGGTCAATTGCTCTTGCTATTTTAGTTATGTGCCCCCTCCTTCTCTTGAGTTTCAGAATTTAACAGGGTTAATTGCCTTTATTGTGAGGCCTTGGCAAATAATTTTTAAGCCAGATGAAAATAAATAAATAAATTCTTTAAATTCTTTAAATTTTTTTCCCTGTAAAATTGTGTCTGGACATCACTGTGTGCCATTTGGGAAACAACATTACTAATGACAATAGATTGTTTTATAGTTCTGAGATATGACAGTTTATGACTAGTTTAAAATAATTGCCATTATTTCACATGTATATGGTGTCAAAGGGTTCTAGGTGCTGAATTGGACATGGGATAAGATACAGTAATACCATTTTTTTAATATTTATTTTTTAGTTGTAGTTGGACATAATACCTTTGTTTTATTTATTTATTTTTATGTGGTGCAGAGGATCAAACCCATGGCCTCACACATCCAAGGCAAGCGCTCTACTGCTGAGCCATTGCCCCAGTCCTACAGTAATACTATTTTTATTGCATCTGTAATACTGAGGAATGACACAGAGTATTTTTAATTTTTGTGCATTTTAAAAATTTCTTTAAAATTTCTTTAATTAGTAGACAGTAGAATGCACTTTGATACATCACATATAATAGAGTATAATTTCTCATTCTTGTGGGTATACATGGTGTGGAATCCCACCAGTACATATGTACATTTGGGTAATAATGTCTGATTCATTCTACTACCCTTCCTACCTCCATACCATTTTTCCTCCCTTCACTCCCCTTTATCTAAAGTAACATTATTCCTCCCTAGCCCTACCTCCTGTGCATTATGAATTAGCATCTGCGTATCAGAGAAAACATTCAGCTTTCGATTTTTTTTTTTTTTGGGATGGCTTATTTCGCTTAGCATGATATTCTTCTCCATCCATTTACCAACAAATGCCATAATTTCATTCTTCTTTAAAGCTGAGTGATATTTCTCTGTGTGTGTGTGTGTGTGTATGTGTATGTGTATATGTATAGCTATAACATTTTTTTATCCATTCATCTGTTGAAGGGCACCTAGGTTCCTTCCACACTTTTGGTATTATGAATTGAGTTGCTTATAAACATTGATGAGGATGCATCACTGTAGTATGCTGATTTTAAGTCCTTTGGGTATATGCCAAGGGGTGGGATAGCTGAATCAAATGGTGATTCTGAGTTTTCTGAAGAATCTCCATACTGCTTTCCAAAGTGGTTACACCAATTTGCAGTCTTACCAGCAATGTATGAGTGGACCTTTTTTCCCACATCCTTGCCAACATTTATTGTTGCTTGTATTCTTTTTTTTTTTTTTTTTTTTTTTTTAAGAATTTTAATATTTATTTTTTAGTTATTGGCGGACACAACATCTTTGTTTGTATGTGGTGCTGAGGATCGAACCCGGGCCCCACGCATGCCAGGCGAGCGCGCTACCGCTTGAGCCACATCCCAGCCCCTGTATTCTTTTTTTTAATGTTTATTTTTTAGTTGTTGGACACAATACCTTTATTCCAGTCATTTATTTTTATATGGTTCTAAGGATCAAACCCAGGGCCCCACACATGCTAGGTGAGCGCTCAACCACCGCTGAGCCACAATCCTAGCCCCTGTTGCTTGTATTCTTGATGATTGCCATTCTGACTAGAGTGAGATGAAATCTTAGAGTAGTTTTGATTTGCATTTCTCTGGACTGCTGGAGATGTTGAACATTTTTTCATATATTTATTGACCGATCAATTATATTTTTTCTTCTGTAAAGTGTCTGTTCAGTTCCTTAGCCCATTTATTGACAGAGTTATTTGATTTTTGGTGTTAAGGTTTTTGAGTTCTTTATATATTCTGGAGATCAGTGGTCTATCTGAGGTACACATGGTAAAGATTTTTCTCCCATTCTGTAGGCTCTCTCTTCATGTTGTTGTTTTCTTTGCTGTGAAGAAGCTTTTTAGTTTGAATCCATCCCATTTATTGGTTCTTGATTTTACTTCTTGTGCTTTAGGAGTCTTGTTAAGGAAGTCAGATCCTAAGCCAACGTGGTGAAGATTTGAGCCTACTTTTCTTCTGTTAGGCACAGGATCTCTTGTTCTAGTGCCTAAGTCTTTGATCCACTTTGAGTTGAGTTTTGTGCAGGGTGAGATAGGGGTTTAATTTCATTTTGTTATATGTGGATTTCCAATTTTCCCAGCACCATTTATTGAATAGACTATCTTTTCTCCAGTGAATGTTTTTAGCAACTTTGTCTATATGAGGTAGCTGTATTTATGTGGATTTGTCTCTATGTTTTATATATTGTACCATTGGTTTATGTGTCTGTTTTGGTGCCAATATCATGCCATTTTGATTACTGTGGCTCTGAAATATAGTTTAAGGTCTGGTATTGTGATGCCTTCTGCTTTACTCTTCTTGCTAAGGATTGCTTTAGCTATTCTGGGTTTTTTATTTTCCCAAATGAATTTCATGATTGCTTTTTCTATTTCTATGAAGAATATCATTGGGATATTAATAGGAATTTCATTAAGTTTGTATAACGCTTTCAGTAGTATGGCAATTTTGACAATATTCTGCCTATTTAGGAGCATGGGAGGTTTTCCATCTTCTAAGGTCTCCTTCAATTATTATTATTATTATTTTTAGTGTTCTATAATTTTCATTGTAGAGGTCTTTTTTTTAAGCTATTGTGAATGGGGTAGTAGATTCATCAATGATGTATGGGAACACATTTGATTTATGGGTGTTTGTGTTATTATAACCTGCTACTTTGCTGAATTCATTTATAAGTTGTAGAAGTTTTCTGGTGGGATTTTTTTGGCTCTTCTAAATATAGAATCATGTCATCCGCAAACAGTAATAGTTTGAATTCTTCTTTTCCTATTTGTATCCCTTTCTTTCTCCTATTTAATTGCTCCGTCTAGAGTTTCAAGGATGGTGTTTTGTGCATGTAATAAAGGTGGAAATTTTCTTCATGCTTGACAGCCTTTAGAATATTTTCATGTAACTTAGAGCTGAAGAACTTCACAATGCTCAGAATTTTTTAAATGAAAAAATAAGATGTGTGAAAGTTACATAACCTGTACTTGATCACCCAGTTAGCACTAGAACTTAGTCCTGCTCCAAAAGGCTATTCTTATTTAGAGAGTAGAAAAGCATTGTTTTTGTATCTCCAAGTTACTTGGGGATAAAATGGATGTTTCACTTGGAAAATTTACTTAGAATTTGAAATTATATTAAAATATGACAGCTCAGCTCTGTGAATGGCAAGAGATTTCATAGTATAACCTAATTTCCACATGCACTTTGAAATATAATCCTTCATGGTGGGACACCATTAAGATGACAGGCCTAGGGCAGCTTTACAGTTTTCCTGTGGTGTTTTACTTAACTTAAAAAAAAAAAAAAAAATGGTGGACTTGTGTAACCAGTACACATAAGTATGATATTTAAAAAGGGGGAAATATTTGGAAAATGAAAATGCAGTGTCATTGTATAAGGAAGGATTTGTGATGTAGCCTAATGTATAAAGAGTCACTGTTCATCAAATAAGACACCATTTTTTTACAGTAATAAAGTCCATAAATGTAATAGGCATTTTAGTCAGAAGAAACCTAATTTTCAAGATATCCAGAATGATACCTTGAAATGTTAATGTATGAGGCATTAAACCTTCCACAGTATATTTGAAAAAAATTTCACCGATTTCCCTGAAAGCTATAAGCTATAAATCAGTTTATTCCTAAAATAAATAACTTCAACTTACAGCCAGTTTTTTTAGAGAAATTTAAAAGCCTTTTTAAAAGTTGCTTTTTTCAGAAATAGCTAGATGTTCTTATGTTGTAATTTTTTTTTTTTAGTTGTAGTTGGACACAATACCTTTATTTTACTTATTCATTTTTATGTGGTGCTGAGGATTGAACCCAGGGCCTTACATGTGCTAGGCAAGCACTCTAACACTGAGCCACAACCCCAGACCTTATGTTATACTTTGTTAATGCATATACTTCCAAGATTTCTTATTTTTATAATCTGAGAAAAAAATGTCATAGGTCTTTAGTAAATAAAAAAGTGGTTTCATTGTTAAGGAACTGATAAATGTGAGTTTTTCATTACCTAACTCAGAAACTCCTAAACTGGACTGTACATTAGGTTCCTCTGGGTACAATAAAAATAGACTTTTTTTTCTTTTTTTTAATATTTATTTTTTAGTTATAGGTGGACACAATATCTTTATTTTATTTTTAGGTAGCGCTGAGGATCAAACCCAGTGCCTCATGCATGCTAGGCTGTACCTCCGAGCCACAACCCCAGTCCCCAGACTCTTCTTTTTTAACCTATTAAAGAAGTATGGAATCAGAAACTTGGGGAACATGTCCTAGTGATCTCTTTTTAAAATAAATCTCTTGCAATAGTGATCTGCTGCAGCTTTTCCATATACTCATGTTTAGGAAATGCTAATCTATGCATTTTGAAAGTTATTTAAAATTTCATAAAAATTTAGTTAGATACACTTTCTTACATAATATCTGAAACAACTGACTAGATCTGGTATCTCTACTTTCTCCTCAAGTTCTTGGGGTTTTGTTTTGTTTTAATTTGATGGACACAATACCTTTATTAATTTGGTTATTTTAATATGGTACTGAGGATTGAACCCAGTATCTGACCCTTGAGTGTGAGGCAAGCACTCCAATACTGAGCTGCAACCCCAGCCCTTGGTTTTTTTTTTTTAAATACATATTTTTCTGATTTTTATAGAAACTGTTTATTTGTTTGGTGGCTGGGATGGAACACAAGATCTTGCTGACTTCTGGGCATATAGTGTGAAGGAGAACCAGTGGACATGTATCTCTAGAGACACTGAGAAAGAGGTAAGTTTTCAGACTTTTTATACACCCATATTGCATTAGAAGCATGGGTATACACTTTTTTGCAAGATTGTTTTTTTCTCTAATATTTATCAGCAGTAGTTGTAAAAGAGTTTGTCATATACAAGCTTGGTTTAAGTATTCCTACATTTTAGCTTCCATACCTGGTTTGTTAACTACTGGCACATAAGCAAGACTGTTTTGTAAAGATGAAAGAAAATGGATATTTTTATGTCATTGAATTTTTACACTCCTTAGCCCAGAAGTGTAATTGCATGACTATCCTTTTGTCCTTGTCACCTCTACTCTTGTATTTAGCATTTGTCTCATTTTAATTTCCTTTGGCAAATGTACTTTTGGTGTTCTAGCCTCTCTCTCTCTCACTATTTTGGCCTCTCACTGTTTTACTGTATAGTCATGCACTGCATAATGACCTTACAATCAATGGCAGGCTACATATGTAGTGCTGGTCCAATAATATTATATTGCGTAGTGACATTATACCTGTGCTGGTTTGTATAAATGCACTCTATGATGTTCGTACAATGATGAGATAGCATGACAATGCATTTGGGGTTTTTTTGTATTATTCGAATTAGTTATACGTGACATGACAATGCATTTCTTAGAATGTGCCACCAACATTAAGCTACTTCTAGTTGTGTGTCAGTTTTCATAAATTATGTATATATTTTAAACTTTAAATTGCATATATGTGTGCATTTTTATATCTATACATATGTAGATATTAGACATACATGGCATTTCCATACTGAATAAAATGATTTGCTTTTATGGCTTTGAATTAAACAATTATATGATTATATTATACTTTGAAATAAAACAAATATTTTTCTCAAAAATTTTATAGAACTTATTGCTGTATCCTCCATCTGGGCTGTTTGAAATTATGAATTGAAAAATAAACTATAAAATAACAGAAGCTGAATGTGAAGAGGGGGAAAAAAGATTTAATTCAGACCCTCTGATTTTCATTTTGGAAAGACCATTTCAAAAGATCTGATGCTGTGTCTTCAATCCTAGGAAACTGGGTTCTTGCTTACTTAGCATGTTTCAGCAATTAGTCATTTGGGTTATTTTTATTTTCTCAAAAAGACCTTGAAATTCTGATTTCTGTTTTGTAACCTTGACAAAAGTATGTAAAAATGGCCTTCCCTTGTCAGTATAGAGGTACCATGTTCTGAATTGATTATTTCTGTCCTCAACAAAAAGAAAAGACATCTAATTTTTAAAACACAAGCACACACTTAACACTTCTTTTCAACGATTTTAAATCTAGGTTGGTTACATCTCTAATTATTCTTGCAGTAAGCCTAGGATCATCTTCAAGTCCTCCTTCTTCATTAAGGGTATATAATTTGTGCCAAAGTTACATTAATATCCTATACTTTATTTCAGATGTCTTTTCCTTTTGGCGCTGATTCCATCTTTATAATTTCTTAAACTTTTTTGTTCACTATTGATGATCTCCAGATCTGTTCTCCATTCCTGGGCACAGTCTTGAAAAACAGTCTTAAGCCTCTGCTTAAGCCCTGTGATTACTTTCAGTCTCTGTTTCAGTTACCAATTATATTTTATCTGTTACATTATATGCACTCACAAAACCTCAGTAATAAGCATTTTTTTGCTTATGAGTCTGCAAGTTGGCTAGGCCATTCTTTTGGTTTAGGCTGGGCACACTTATTTGTCAGTGATTCAGCTGTCTATTGGCTAGTTGAGGATGCCTTCCATTGGGACTACTTGGTTGTGTTCTGCACAGTTGCTTACCTTGCTCTGGGATAGTTGGAACCATGGCAAGGGCAAAGCTGCAAGAGGGGTAAAGTAGATGTAAACAATCCATCAAATTTATTCTTGTCTCCTTAGCAAAAAGATATACATGTGGTGGGAAACACTGTTAAAGACATAGACACAAAATAACAACAATAATAAAACTATTTATCTACCTCTGTTCATTTTGCTTAGAGTAAAAACTCCAAATTTCTCATCAGGATTTAGTCTTCATCTACTTTTCCAGCTTCATCTCCTGACTTTATGTTCTAGCCTTCCTGGAATTATTCAATTTTCTGACCTGTGTTATTTGGCAATGTTGTTTTCCCTGTTTCAGATTAACAGAGGGTCTTCCCCCTAAGCATTTACTAATAAATACTTACTTATTCTTTAAACTCAGTTCAGACTTCACTTCCTCAGCTTGCTGTGGTGTCCACTTAAACTTTTTTTAGTTCTTGAATGGGTTGCTATCCGTTTATAATCCTGTTTGCATCATATCCTTTAAAATGTAACTAAGCATATATAGGATTATATACTGTCTGTAGTTTTAAGCAATCATTGGTGGTCTTAGAATTTCTCCTCTCTGGATAAAGAAGGATTCATGTAATAATATGATAAAAAGTTCTTCAAAAGTGTAGAAAATAGTTTCATATATTTAGTTGTTTGGTGGTTTTCTGTCTGGTAATTATAGTGTGACATGTATGTTTACTCTCAGGGAATAAACAGATGAGGTGAATTAAATTAAAAGTTAGTGCTAGGGCAAAGCAAGGGGATAAATGCAAAATTCAGGAGAGTGGCTTCTTGGGGGTGTTTATAGTTGATTTTAGAGGTAATATTGATATATTCTGCTTCTAAGGCTGGGAAATGTGTAGATAATTGTTCATTCTATTACTTTTTATACTGTTTACACAGGTGTAAGTAATATTTAGAACTCAGTAATTAAAAGTAATGCTGAAAAACTGTAGAGGTTATTTTGATGGAAACACTTTGTTTTTGTTATTTTGAAGGTAAGAGAGATAAGTAACATGGTGACTTAGTACTAGATAGAGCTCATATTTATTATAGTTTATTATTACTTTCTTTATATGGACACCTAAAAGTCTTTTGTTGGTCTACCTGTGAATTGAAAGGTAATACATGGCTCTGACTACTGCTCATTGTTTTTAAAACTGAGCAGTAAATATTTCACATATCTCGTTTTATTTATTTATTTATTTGGTACCAGTGAGTACAAATTTATCGCTAGCTAGACTTGAGCTGGGTTCACAAGAGCTGGCTACATCAATGACTGAGAAAATGGCAAAAGAAGCATGCAACACACAGAAATACCTTTTGCTTACAGGAATCAGGAACACCTCTTGACCTTAAGGGTCCGTTGGAAAGAGAGAGAGAGAACACGCCTGAAACCATCCATCCTATTTATTGAGGAGAAAGACATTCATTCGAGAAAGTTCAACCCCAATAAGGCAAGGGATTAGGTTTCAGGGGGTTGCTTGGTGATGTCTTGTGGTCAGCAGATTGACTGACATCTTGGAAAGCCACACCCATCTCAGGTGCTGTGTGGGATGAAAGGCAGAGCGAGCAAAAAGGAAACATATGTCACACAGTCCAGTCAGATCAGCAATGTCATTCCAGTCCCCTCAAGTGCTCAAATGCTCATAGCTCACATATAGCCCATGGCTGGCTCGAGGCACAAATTATTGTTTGATGATACCCCAGAGGATGTATTTTTTAAAATAATTAAAAAGCAAAATTAACTTAATTTACTTAAATGTATATCTAATAAAAGATTTCAGAGATTTAAAGATAATAGAATGACTCAGCTCTTAAGGAGAAAAAATTATTTTAAATGTTTATATGTGCAAGTAAGTTTTTATAAGTTTGAAACAAGTGTATTATTGTTCAAAGTAGTTAATTAAAAAGATATTTTTATGAACCCCAATCCAATTCCATTAATATTTTTAAATTTTTTTATTTATTCTTTTTAGTTATTCATGACAGTAGACTATATTTTGACATCATACATGGAATATAACTTTCCATTCTTGTGGTTATACATGATGTGGAGTTTCACTGATCACGTATTCATAGTTTTGGGGACCAAGTCTTGGAAAGTAAAAAGAAAAGTTGAACCTTTGTTCGTTTTTCATTATATTACAAAAATTTGAGGCATGATGAACAATGCCGTGTTCAACAAAGATGGAATGGTCATGTTCCTTTAATATTCTTGTAGACTAACTATAAAAGTTCAATATTTTGTAATATGAGTATCAGCCATGATTATTAATGAAAATGAAATTTAAAGCTGGAGACATCTTAGAAAAGACTGGATTATACCTTTTCATAAAAGCAGGGTAGGAAAATGTCCCTTACTTACATTTTTCTGAAAGTAAAGTTTTGCTTTCTTACGTAATTCTGACTTTATTTCTGAAATTAGACAGGGCCTTCCTCTTATTGGATGATACTTATACTAATGATTCTCAAACTTTATGACCTCAGGATTCCTTTATACAAAACTCATTGAAATTTGAAATTTATTTGGGTTATATCTATTGAAATTTACTATACTAGAAATTAAAATAGATCTTTAAAATTTTTATGTCGATTATTTTAAAATAGCAGTAATAAACCTATTACACACTAAAATAAATAACATTTTTATTAAAAATAACAATTTTCCAAAAATTTTAGCAAGAAGAGTAACATTGTTTTGAATTTTCATAAATGTCTTGGTTAATGAAAGATAGATTCTCATATATCTGCTTTTTCATTTGCTCTCTTGTGACATGTTGTTTTGCATGAAATACTGAGGAAAGTTGGACCTCAGATAGCAGTTTTTGGAAGGAGAGTGATATTTTAATATCTTTTTTCAGACAATTGCATATGTTCTTTGATCCCATATCCTAAGTTGACAAGTCATTGTTTTTTACAGGTAGTTGTAGTGTAGACTCTGAAACCATACCAGCTTACTTTTTTGTATTCTGTTACATTAAAATCCATTGGTTTGTTTTGCTCTTTGAGTGTTTTTTTTTTTTTAATCCATGCATGGTTTTAAAACTTTTTTTAATTTGTTCTTTTTAATTATACATGACAGTAGAATGTATTTGACATATCATATTGTTTTTTTAAACTAATGTGTTGGTCATCTGAAAAATACTGGTTCCCTGAGTTACAGATATTGACCTTCCAGATATTGACCTTTTTATGTAATATTAAAAAAAATCACATTTGTTAATATCACTGTCAGTTGTAGGTATTGGGATAGTGTTGATCACAGTAGCAATTTTCTAAAATTCTGAGGCATGCTTAAAATAAATATGACATCATTGGCAACAGATTTTCTCATTCACTTTTGAGATACTGTCTGACATAACCACAAACTCTGAATAACCATGCTTTTTAAAAAAATATTTTTAGACCTTTATTTTGTTTACCTTTTTTCTTTTTTTTTTTTTTTTTTTTTAATGTGGTGCTGGGGATTGAGCCCAGTGCTACATGTGTGCTAAGCAAGTGCTCTACTACTGAGCCACAACCCCAGCTTAAATAACCATACTTTAGTTGTTCTCTCAAGTAAATATAGAGTTCTATGGAAAAAGCACCTTTATCAGCTTGCAATGCAAACATTTGCATAGGTGCTTTTCCTTGAGAAAACATCATACATCAAATAGCATTGTTTTTTCGTTTTCTAGACCTCTTGAATGTTTGGCTTAATAAAAGACAGCTAATTTATACATCTGTTTCTGCATTCAGGCTGCTATATCAGAAAATCATGTAGCCTCTGGAAATTTTCAGAACATTCATAGAGAATGAGCATTTAAAAAATGTATCCTTGTATTGTTATGAAAACAACTTTGACCTTATGGACTCCCTAAAGTGCTTTGAAGAACCCAGACTGTACTGAGAACTGTAGCTTTAATCTAATTCAGTCCCTATTCAGATATAGACAGTTATCCCAAAATGACCCAGAGTTGTCCTTTAGAAGCATCCCATTGTCATCGTCCCCACAGCCTCTGACCCAGGATTTAGTCCATTATCATGCATTGCATTTTGTTTTCATGATTCTTTAGTCTCCTATTCTTTTTGACTAACATTTTTGAAGAGTACAGGGAGTCATCTTGTAGAATATCCCTCAACTGGCTTTGCCTGATATTTCCTTAGGATTGGATTCAGATTATGCATTTTGTATTAGGAAGTATTATTATAAAAATGGGATTTATTAGGTTGGCTTAAGCGATCAGAAGCTGGATAGTCCATAGTGATTGTCTTCAGGCTAGAGAGGAACCAAAACCTGCCACAATCCAAGACACTGAAGCCCTAGAACAAGAGGGATTAACAGTGCTACCCTAGTCCAAGACTGAAGGCTTATGGAAACTCCCTGGAGAATCACCACTGGAAGAGTCCTTTGGAAAAGTGAAGAAGCGAGAGTCCAATATCCTCAATCAAAGCAGCAATCAAGAACCTGTTCAAGAAGAATTGAGCTTGCATCTGCTGCTGTATCCTTGTTTTTCCAGCTTTTATTCCATCTAAGCCACTATCCTATTGGACAGTGCTGCCCATGCTTAAGGAGGGTCTCCACTTCAGCTGGCTATCCCACATGCCAGCCATTCCTAGATACACCCTTGCTGACACACCCAGAAGCCTCTTAATCATTGACATCTCTTAATCCAATCATGTTGAGAATTCAAATTGACCATTACACGTTTTTTAGCAGGCATAACACATGGATTACATTGGCTTCAGGAGACAGACACATTATTTCAGTTCATCTGATGTTAGTTAGCTTTGATCACTTGATTAAGCAGCTGCCTACCAGATCTCTCCTCTTTATAATTAGTTGTAGATGGACACAATACCTTTATTTTGTTTTCATTTTTATGTGGTGCAGTTCATTTCTATTCCTGTTTTGCTGTGAGTTTCATGAATTTATATTGCATGTGAGTATTATATGTGTTAAATTTTATCAAATTGTTTTCTAAATTGGTATTAATATAATCATATTTTTACCCTTCATCCAGTTAATATGACAAATTACCGTGATGGATTTTTATATATAAAATCAATTGCGTTCCTTTTGTTTTGAAATATTCTTTTTATTTATTGTTGTATTCTATTTGTAAATATTTTGTAAAAGATTAACTTTGTGTCTTTGTTTAGGGATACTTGCCCATAAATTATTTCTTGACTTCCTTTTCCCTTTCCTCTTATTCCTGCTATCCCTCACCTCTTCTTTGTAATATCTTTTGATTTTAATGTTATGTTAAATTAGGAATGGAGTAGAATATAGATTTGATTTTAATTTTTTTAGTTGTTTATGGACCCAATACCTTTATTTTATTTATTTTTATGTGGTGCTGAGGATTGAACCCAGTGCCTCACATATGCTAGGCATTCTACCACTGAGTTACAATCCTAGTCCTAGAATATAGATTTTAGAATGGAGTTTTTCTTCTTCCAGTATATTCCAAATAATTTTGTCTAAAAATGATGAAATTTCTTCCATAGGTATTTGATAAAATATACCAGGATAGAAATCTGGGCTTGGAAGTCTCTTTATGGGAAGATTTTTAATTATAAATTCAATTTTTCAATAGATATAAGGATTTCATGTTTTTCATTTTCATCTCAGTTCATTTTACTGTTTATATTTTTAAGGAATATGTCCATTTTATCTACATTGTCAAATTTTACCAGTTTTTCTTAATAGGCCTTTATTTTGTTTTTAATTTTTAGAGAGTCTTAGTACTTTCAGTTCTGATAGTGGCAATTTGTATTTCTCTCTCCCTTTATAAAAAATTAGTCTTGTTAGGGGTATAGAATGTTGTCAGTCTTTCAAATAATCAGCTGTTAATTTTCTCCATTTCTTAATGTTTTCTATCCTATTAATTTCCTTTACCTTTTTTCTTTGTGCTTAGGGTGTAATTTGCTCAGCATTTTAGAAGTACTTAAGTACTGAAGGAAAAAATTCGATAACTTTTCTATTTAAATCTCAAATTTCACATTCTCAGAAATATGACAGATTTATTAGGTGTTATCCCATATTTATTTTTGAGGTTAATTATAAAGTATACTGGCCACAGCCCAGTTTGTGATAGCCCAATGGGATAGGCAGCCAAGAGTTCAAAGAAAGTACCTAGAGACTGCGTGACAGTGCTCTAACAGGGAAGACCTGGTGATGACAGGCTAGACAGATAGCACCTCCATTCCTAAGAGTGCTTTGCCAGCTAATGCCTCTGTCCCTCCTGATACTACTCCAGAAAGCTTAGTGGCAACAGGCTAGACTAGCACCTCTGTCCTTCATGCTACTTTGCCAGAAAATAGCATTTCATTTCTCCTGATGCCTTGTCCAGTGGTGGCTGACTGGACAAGTGTCCTCAGTTTCACACCAGTTAAGGAGAGGAGTTTTATAAGTGAGGCTGCAGAAGCAGTGGCATCGCTAGCTTAGCTTGCTTTGAATGACTAGGCATCCCAAGGAACTTGACCTGCATGTAAGAAAGCATGGAGGATATGCTAACTCACCTTAATTCCTAGTATTCATGGGAGAAAACCAGTGTCCATCAAGATAAAATAAACCTGGACATTTCAGCCCTTGAGTTGACCAGGTTCTTGGGGAACACAAAGAGGCATTTCAGTACCTAGTGTTTTATTATCCTCCTTTTCTCTGAGGATGACACATGGAGACAGTTCTTTCTTAAATAAAATTTCTTCTTTATCTTCTAAAATCTTGACAAAAATCTTTAAAAGTAAGTTTTTAAAATAGTTAATTGTATAGATTCAAATCAACATACTATCTGGATTAATAACACTAATTGTCAAACTGTTTTCCTTTCCAATATTTCTTCCTTTAGTCAAGTTAATACTGCTACATTATTGTTCTGATAATACTGTTTTCCCACTGCCTACCCTCTAGTATTGGGGATTGAATCCAAGGCTTTATGCATGCCAGGGAAGCACCCTTAACCCTGAGCTACAGCCCCAGACCATACTTGTTTTGTCCTATATTCTGGTGAGAAATATAGAAATGTTCTTAAGGACAAAAGTGATATGTAGTATGGAATTGAACTACATCACAAATGACTAAAATGCAATTGATACCTGATTGAAGCCATATGCAATTTGCAAATGAGTGTCATAGTTTACAGAATAGTTTGGTTTATCTTTCCTAGTATATTTTAAGCCTTTCCAGGATAAGATTTGTGTCTCCTACTGCTTCTGTTGCTCTTCTTCAGAGATTTATGCTTGATGTTGAACCCATATTAGTTGATTTGATATTAGTTTCTAAGAAAAACTTCTAATGAAAAGTAACAAAAGGGGCATTTAATTTTATTTTTTGTTATTTGTTCTTTGAATCACCCTCCCCCCTCACCCTTCTTTTCCTCTCTACAGAATGGTCCTAGCGCCAGATCATGTCATAAAATGTGCATTGACATTCAGCGGAGGCAAATCTACACATTGGGACGTTATTTGGATTCCTCTGTGAGGAACAGCAAATCTCTGAAAAGTGACTTCTATCGTTACGACATTGACACAAACACGTGGATGTTATTAAGCGAAGATACTGCTGCTGATGGAGGGCCAAAACTGGTGTTTGATCATCAGGTTTGATGTACAGTTAAATATGTAGTGGAATTAATTAGTGATGAGTAATTCTTAGCTTTTAGACTACTTTTTTTGATGTTGTGCAGAATGGTCTAATAGTAAACACTATAAACACCTATGACAGATTATAAAAATAATTATTGTTTCAGTATGTATAATGTTATTCTTTATTTTAATTGAGCCTACACCAAATTTATACTACATCCTGAATTTGGTGTAGGCTCAATTACCAAGATCTCAGAACATTATTGCTAATCGTAAGAACTTTAGTATGGAGAGTAAATAGAAAAATATTAGGGAAAAAACAAATTTAATTTTATAGTAAATATCCACAAATTATAACATAATAACTTGCCTTTTTAATTTTTTTATCTTATCTGGCAGAAATTTAAAATCAATTTATAATGAGTTCAGGAATTTGAAATCTTGAGCTTTTCTTCCAAATGAAGTAAAATATGCTCAGTTTTGTTTATAGCCAGAAACTTAGGAACCTAGGTAGGAATTTGACATATGCTAGTTTAAGGTTAAACTCAGTACCAATAGAAGTCATGTAATGGTGTTAAGACAGGGAGACTGCATGCAGTAATACTGGAAGCCATTTTGATACTAATGTGCTTATAGCCATCATCATCATCCCCATCAGTGTTATTCTTATGGTATCTTTGAATACTTGTTCCATATCATTTTAGGATAAGTCAAGTAAAACAGTAACCACTTTGAATTTTTATAGGCAGTTTTATTTGGTTCAGCCCATTGGCAATGTTTTTTTGGAATGTTGGGGAAAAAAGACTCAAGATCTGTCACACTATTGATGGTAGCATTATCTAGTACTTGGGAAATGAGAGGTGGTGCTAGACTTATGACAAAATCAAACATAAGTCTAAAATCTTATGTAGGAGTCAAAACCCAGGTCTTTTTTTAAAAAAATCTTTTCAGATTTTTGTTAATTCTTTACTTTAAAGCTATCTTATTACTATACTATATTAATACTAATATGTAGTTTTTATAGGAGAATGGCAAAGAGAGAGGTATGTATTATTGCGTATGAAGTGAATTAGGTGGTAAATCATAAACATTAGTCTTCAAAGTACTCCCCAGAATGAATGTGGAACTTTTGCTGGCTATATGTAACTGAGCTCCTCAGAGCTGTGCACACTTTGCTGACATCCTCAGTGGTGTTCGTGTAGAAAATAAGAACTCCAAGAAAGCAGTCTGGTTTTGGTCTTCTAAAACAGCATCAGCACATAACAATGTTAGGGAACAGTTTATTCTTTTGATCCCAAGTTCCTGCATATTCTTTTACTGAAGATGGTGATATCTTTTATTTTTATGGATTAAAAAAAGAATAGTATAGGGATAGTCTGACTATATATAGTACATGTAGAGTTCTGTGGGGCTGGCCTTTGTCTCTTGAATTTGATAAAGTAGGATGTTCCTTAGAAGCTGGGTTCTATTAAATAATGCTTGGTCTTCACCTGAATCAGATGGTACTGTAGCATATTGGGGTGAAGAAACCAGGATTTTAGTCCTACTTCAGCCAACAGCTAGCTGTGTGGTGCTGAACAAGTAACATAATTGTATAAGTCTCCATTTTCAAGTTCAAAGACTTTTTTATTTCTAAAGAATGTAATGACAGTTTAGTTCTCAAGTTTTCCACATTGTTGCTTTGTGTGCTTTTCAGAAACAGTGAGACTCAGAGAGGTTTTTTTTTTTTTTTTTTTTTTTAAACACACACACAAGACACATATTTAGCAAAACTAGGAGACAAGGTAATCCCAATTCCTAATTCCTTATAAGTTTACCCCAAAACAACCAAAATACTTAGAACTTGTGTTGAAGCCCACAACAATCAATGAAGAGAACTGGGAATGCTGAGGGAGGTTAGCAATGGTACATCGTGGTGCGAAGATTTAGGAGCTGAGCAGCACGGTGGTCAGTGAATTAACATGTGGAGAATACCAGAAAGGTCCCGAGGTGGTAAATGTCTAAATGTGCAGGAAACACAGTGACAGTGGGGCACAGTGGCTCCTTTTGCAATAAATAGCTAGAAGGAACTGGAGGAACTCAAAGCTTGAGACAGAGCCCCCTGAATCAGATGAAGCTCATAGAGTTAGAGAATGCATGACATTTTAAAGAAATCATCACATTTTAAAGAAATCATTCAATTCAGTAGCAACAGAGGAAGAAATTGTTGATAAAGATCATGCCCCTTCCATTGGAATCCAGTTGGAATCCTCTAAAAGGTTTCTGGTTCAGGGAAAATCAGCACACTTAAATATGAAAAACTGTGAACAGCAATAAATACCAAATCCTTAGAGAGCTATTTCAAAGAAGACTAGTGTAAAGAAAAATAACAGCAAGACTTTCCTTCACACTAAAGCAAGTGAAAATTATATCCCAGTATCCTAACATGAATTAAATGACTTAATGAAGCTTGAAACTCTAAAGAAAACAACAAAGCATGAATTTATAAATGCAGACCAGATAGCTAAATAATAGAAGCAGGTAAAACCAGACTTGGTAAAACTCAGGAAAGGAATTGAAGAAAACCATATCCCTTTTGGAAATGAAGACTAATCTACAGGAGCATAAAGAAGAATAGGTAAGTATCATAAACAATAAAAGTAGTATAAAAGAAAAGAAAAATAAAGAGATAAAAAAGATTAGCCAGAAAATTACAGAGATTAGACAGAGGAAAGCCAGCATATACATAATTGGAGCCCTCTTAAAGAAGAATACCAACCAGGTGCAATTGCACATGCCTATAACCCCAGCATCTTGGGGTGCTGAGGCAGGAGGATCATGAGTTCAAGGCCAGCCTCAGCAATTTAGTGAGGCTCTCAGTAACTTAGCAAGACCCTGTCTCAAAATAAAAGATAATAAGGACTTGGGATATAGCTCAGTGGTGAAGTACCCTGGGTTCAATCCCTAATAAAGAAAGAAAGAAAGAAAGAGGGGAGGGGGGAGAGGGAGGGAGGGAGGGAGGAAGGAAGGAAGGAAGGAAGGAGAGAAATCAAACAATGGACTGGAACAATATTCAAAAAAATGTAGTTAAGAATGACTTTCTCTATGTATCAGATGTGCACACTATATTTAGGGAAAAGTGACCCAGACATTTAACTCTAAGACATAGAGTAGTAACATTAGATTTAAAAGACAAAGAGATTATATGTTAGCCACTAGACAAAATGATGAAGTCACCTATAAAAGAACTGAAATAAGACTGATAACAGATTTCTCTATATCTGCATTCACTGGGAGAGTTAACTTACAAAGAGAAAGTTTATTTTGGCTCACAGTTCTGTAGGTTCTAGTCTATGATAAGGTGATGTCTTTGTTTGGGCCTCTTGGCAAGGATGGCACTTCATGGTAGGAACATGTGGCAAAGCAGACTACTTACAATAATGAGCCAGGAAGCAAAAGAAAAGGTGGGTTGTTCTCCCAGAATCACTGTTGGGGGTCACACTCCCCAATGACTCAGGGATCTTCCATACGGCACCATCTCCTGAAGGTTCATAACACCTCCCAGTAGCACCACCCTGAAGACTAAACCTTTAAATCATGGGCCTTTTGGAGATACAATACCTATACTACAACATAGCAAATGTCAAAAGACAATAAAACAACATCAAGAAAATATTCAAGAAAAGACAGTATAAGCCAAAGATTTTTTATTAAACCAAAATGTCTATTGAATAGCAACATTTTGAGGAAATTACTAGAAAATGGGGAGCAAAGTAGCAGGAAAAAATTTCAATAAAAGAATTAAAGATCTCAGCTCAATGACATTCTCCCTGGACCAAATTGAGTCATTAGCAAGCTGAACATATACTTTTTTTTTTTAAGAAGAAAGAGAATAGATTTATTTATTTTTCTTTTTTTCTATTTTTTTATTTGTTTTAATTAGTTACATAATGTCTTCTTTATTGTATTCTCTGAAATAATAAGAATACATTAGCAGTAGTGTTGAAAAACAGTGTCTTCAGAGAACCTCAAAAATTTGTGGAATTTTCCCGAAAGGTAGAAAACAGGTAGGATCAGATTCAACCAGAAGAAACTAGGACATCTTAAGATAGCACCAAAAGCTAGGACATAGCTTGAGTTTCAAAGTTTATATAGTGGGGCAAACATTAAATAATCAGTTAGTGACTAAATAGATGAGTGTTCTCCAGTATGACAAAGTAAGCACTTGGCAGTGATAGTTATCTAATGTTAAGGGCTGGAAAGACAAAGCAAAGGGCACTGCCTGCTGAAGAACCTTCATAGCATCCTGTCTCTCTTCTCCCTATCCAGGCCCCTGAGAAAGTATAGCAATATGGATTTTATGAATATGGATTTTCAGATACAAAGAGGACTACCCCTCAAATCTAGTTATTTGGGAAAAATTAATGAGAGAAGGGTACCAACTCAACAAATTAATGATTAAAGAAAATAGCTAGAAGTAAACTGAAGAAAACTAATTTAAAGTGATATTTTTAAAGTAGTTCTGAAAGATGCACTTCCATAAAAGAAATCAAAAAATTATGAATTAAATATTTGTCAGTGAAATAAAAATTTCAGTAAGTTGTACTCAAGGAAAAAAACAAAAATTTCCAGATCTGAAGAAAGATTACAATTATCAGATTAATTATGACCAATTAAGCTTAAATATCACCAAAAGAAAAGAAACACTCCCCTTTTAGCTACATGAAATAGAATCATAAGGGCTTGGTAAACAGAGATTGGCCATTAGTATGTATCTGTGAATTTAAGAAAATGGAAGCAAACTCACTTAATGTGGGCCCCTCAAGATTTTCTGCATGATCTCCAGTTAGAGAGCTGAGCCTTAGTAAGTTCTTAGGATAGAGTAATGTGATCAAGCTTCAGTGACACCTGAGTCGGAGTGTAGTATCTGAGTGGGGCCAACTGAATTGTCTTCAGCAATGTATGAATTGTTTTTAAAGATATCATAAATTAAGATTAAAAAGTAGGAACATGTTCTGTGCAATGCCAGTGAAATGAAAACTTTGACATCTTTAGTTTTCCAAACAGAATTACTATGATTTCACCCTTGGGAAAACAGTATTTACATCTTAATTTGTGGAAGTCAAGAAACTTGGGAAATGGCAAATAAGGACAGGTACTTTTAGTATTAGGTAAAATTGAGAGATGCTAGACTCTTTCTTCCTTCCTTCCTTCCTTCCTTCCTTCCTTCCTTCCTTCCTTCCTTCCTTCCTTTCTTTCTTTCTTTCTTTTTTTCTTTTCTTTCTTTCTTTCTTTCTTTCTTTCTTTCTTTCTTTCTTTCTTTCTTTCTTTCTTTCTTTCTTTTTTTCTATCTATCTATCTATCTATCTATCTATCTATCTATCTATCTATCTATCTATTTTTGGAGTTGTAGAAGGACAGAATGCCTTCACTTTTTTGTTTATTTTTATGTGGTGCTGAGGATCGAACCCAGTGCCTCGCACATGCCAAGCAAACACACTGCCGTTGAACTACAGCCCCAGCCCCTCTTTTCTTTCTTTCTTTTTTTTTTTTTAAAAAGAATACAAAACAAATTTTCTTCTCACAGTCTTTTTTTTTATATACCTTTATTTTACTTATCTATTTATTTATTGTTTTATGTGGTGTTGAGGATTGAACCCAGGTCCTCGAATGTGCTAGGCGAATGCTCTACGGCTGAGCCACTGCCCTACCCCCGAGAATCTTTTCTTTTTATAGTAATACTTTTTTAAAAACTTTACAATTATTCAAACAGCTTTTTGTTAAAAATACAAAAATAGATGAATGACAAAAACAATCTGGTGGGAGGAGCAAATTGAATACTTGAAGGTCAGTATTTGTATTTTAGGAAAATCATACCATGTTTTGTGTACATGATTTATTCTTTTTTCTTTCTTTTTTTGAGGGTGTGTGACCCTGGGGATTGAACCCATGGCCTTGTACATGTGAGGCAAGCACTCAACCAACTGAGCTATATCCCCAGCCCTAATTTATTCTTTATAAATGTCACTGTGTTTAACATCCTAACTTCCAACTTAGACTTATATATTCTTTGAAATAGAATTTGATTCTTACTGTTGTGACAAATGGCTGTTTCTCACATATTTTTATGAAAAGCTGTAATCTTTAATTGAAAGAATGGAAGCATCAAGATTGGCTTTTGAATATGAATTACATGGCTTAATTCAAAAAGAATTAAATTTAAGGTTTTATAAAATAAATGCAGGACTGAAGTTAGCTGTATCACTCTGATTTGCATATATGCTATCTTATTAAATTGAAGCAATATTAATAGGTTGCCTAGAACAGGAAGAAGGGAATTTCTATAAGGAGGATAAAAATGAGGGTATGATTTCTATTTTCCCATAGAGTATGATTAGGGTTCACTCTTAGGAATAAATCAACATATTGTGTTTATTGATAAAAAATTATGTAGTTTTGGGGCTGTGGCTGTGGCTCAGCAGTAGCGCACTTGTTTGGCATGTGTGAGGCTCTGGGTCTGATTCTCAGCACCACATATAAATAAATAAAATAAAGGTCTATCAACAACTAAAAAAAAATTTTTTTTAATTATGCAATTTAAAGAAAGCAGAAAGTTCTTTGACTCAACATGCTTTATTTTCACTGGTACAAATGCAAACCTGGAAAGGTATTTATAACTCTTATCCTGAATCTCTGCCAGGCTGTAAACAGTTGCAGTATGTTCATATGATAGGCAGGGGTGGTGTTTATTGTCATTAAGGACAAATTCAGGTGGTGGTGGTCATTGTTTGAGAATGTAAAACTGCACACACACATTGGTTTCATTTGGGCACATATGTCAAGAAGAAGCTAAAACAATTTTATCTGTTGTCTTGTTCTGATAGATGTGTATGGACTCAGAAAAACATATGATCTACACCTTTGGTGGTAGAATTTTGACATGTAATGGCAGCGTAGATGACAGCAGAGCCAGTGAACCACAATTCAGTGGGTTGTTTGCTTTCAACTGTCAATGTCAAACCTGGAAACTTCTTCGAGAGGACTCCTGTAATGCTGGGCCTGAGGACATCCAGTCTCGCATAGGACACTGCATGCTATTCCACTCAGTAAGAATATTCTGTGCTTCTATTGTGTTATTTCGTCATGTATATTTTTGTAGGAAAAAGAAGTGGTTAAATCTAAATCTTCATTAAGAGGACAAAGCTTTTAATTTTCTAGAAATAAGTGATTAGTTGTAGCAATGATAGAGAAAAATGAAATTTCCTTTAACAGAAAATTATTTGAGACTCTTTCCATCAACCTAGTAACTCCTAAATAGCTGTTACCTGAATACTAATCTACACAATTTTATGTCTAATTTTATTGCTTATCTAGATAGTAGAGCTCTTTCCCTTTCTTATGACTTTGCACTCACTTTTAGTAATTAGAAGGGCAATATTTTTATCTGTTCTCATAGCACAGGGAAAACCTTTACTACTCTCCATTAAATACAAAGAATTAGGAATTGATTTTATATAATTAGAATTAAAATTTACCAGTAAAACCAGAATTTAGACTTTAATCTTTTCAAATGTTTTAAGGAAATGTTAGTCTTTATTTTAAGGACAGTTTTAAAACAATATTAAAAAGTATTTCATATGTGTCTTTTAACATGTAGTTTAAACAAGTTCTCTCTCTTGAAGTAGAGAGAAGAGTATAATTATAAATTTCTGTATACTCATGAGTTCCAACAGTAACTAATACTCTTCTGTTCATTTCTCACATATCTACTTTTCCCATATTTAATTTCATTCCTTGATATGCCTTTGATTTTTATTCTTAAATTTTATTGTGCTTGAGTATTTTGTCCCATTTTCATAGATATGGAGCACCTATAAATACCTAAAACAGAGTATATAACATTTAATATAGTTATAAAACTAAGAATATAGTTACAATATTAACACTATAATTATAATATGAAGATTAATAATTTATGTAAACTCTAGGTTATGATTTTTACCTGTTTTAGCGTACCTTTGTCAATTTTGTTGAAATATTTGCAGAATTGAAAACTTGGAACTTAATGGGTTACATAGCAGATCTCAGGTATTTTATTTTAATATAGTTGTCATATCCATGAATTCTGCATTCTAAGATTAAACCATCCATGGGTTGAAAATATATATTTTTTAAATCTTGAAATTGAAAATTGTTTTCTTTCACTTAATGATTTTGATTTTGTACCTGTGTATCTTTTAAGGTTAAAACCTGCTTCGTGCAACAATACTGTATTACTTGCTTTATCTATAACAATTTTCAGAATAATGAAGCTAACAACAAAAATTTCTGGGAACTGTTTGAGATTGCTTTCTGATTATTTTTCAGTTTAGGATTTAGCACAATAGGAATGACTAGTCAAAAAATTATGATTTTAAAAAGCACTACAGATAATACTTTCTCAGTATAGTGATTTTCCATTTGGTCAGATCATTATGTACAGATAAGTTTTTTTTTTTCTTTCTTCAAATTTCAGAGGTTTTTATTTTTGTGTTCTGAGTAAATAATAACGTATACACAGTACTAGAGTCAAAACCCTAAGTCAAGATACTTTTTGGAGAGATCTTTTATTTGTTTTTCAGGGTTCCCTTCCCAACCTGATATTTGGGATTGACCCAGGGCCACTTATATCTGATTAAACTCTATCAGAGCTACATTCCTTTTCGGTTTTATTTTGAGAGGGATCAGCCTGGCGTTGAACTTATAACCTTCCTTCTGCCCTCAGGCTTTGGAATAACTAGAAATACAGGTGTGCACCACTACACCTGGCTGTGAGATCTTGGATTTTTTGTGTTTTGTTTTTTTGTTTTTGTTTTTTGAGTGGCATTTTAACAATAGAAGTTTATTTCTCATAGATAATTCTGGAGGCTGGTACATACAAGTGAGAGATCTGGTTTTTATCCCTGTTTTCTGGATAGGGATTAAAAAGGGTCATTTCCCTGTAAATAACTATCCTTTATTAGGTTTTGGTTTCTCCTTCCTTTGTTTAAAAAAAAAAAAAAAAAAAAAGCAGTAGCAAATGCACACATACACATAGTTGAAGCACACAGTGTGCGCTCTCGTTCTCGCTCGCGCTCTCTCTCTCTCTTTCTCTCTCTTGCTGTCTCTCTCATACATATACAGATATTACTCGTTGTTTCTTACCCAAAGGCAACAACCTGTGTACATTATTTAGCACCTTGCCTTTTTACATTAACAGGGTATCCTTGAGGTCATCTCTTAGCGGTATGTAGAAAGACTTCTCTTTGCTCTTTATTCCAGCATGGTTCTTCACTGCATGGGATCTATCATAAACTACATTTGTAGTGATTTAAATTTTGAAAGAACCGTTCTGAATTCTTCACAGAAGTGACATATTTCTCCCTTCTTTGTCCCTTTCTTTTTCAGAAAAATCGTTGCTTATATGTGTTTGGAGGCCAGCGATCAAAGACCTATTTAAATGATTTCTTTAGTTATGATGTGGACTCTGATCATGTAGACATAATATCAGATGGCACCAAGAAAGACTCTGGGATGGGTAAGAGCATTTAGGGATTGATTTCCTGTCTCATGCCTTAACTACTTTAGGTAGAACACTCTAACCCATTTTTTTTTTTAAACCATCCTTAACCCTTTCTCTATTTTTTATTGAAATAATTCTGAGTAAGAGGAAGAAACTCCCTAAATCTTTTTTAAAATATGTGAATAACTATTGTTATTTTATTCAAGCAGAAAGACATATGACTTTCTACAGCAATTTGTGTGTGGGGGGTATATGCACACTTTTGGGGGGAGGGTTATTGCAAGAAGCAATATCTTAAAAACTGTAATATTTTATATTTGCTAATTCTTTCTACCTTCTGTTTTCACTGTAGTGATCTATAGATTAGATAGCAGCATAGTAGGAAATATCTTTGTTCTGAGAGAAGATTCATGTTATTGGTAACATCTGATAAGTTTATAAGCTTAGTATCTAAGAAGTTATTAGCCTAGTGATAGGGTAACTGGTTTGCCCAGTTTATGCATGTTGCCCTGTCATAATTATTTAATTTTTTTTTGTTATACCTGAACACAATATCTTTATTTATTTTTATGTGGTGCTGAGGCTCAAACCCAGTGCCTCACATGTAAGAGGCAAGTACTCTACTGCTGAGCCACAACCCAGCCCCTGTCATAATTATTAATAGTTCCCTTTGTACTCTCAAAAGTGTCTTGTTTTGATAGTTTATGGTTACTCTACATAATAGCTGATTTACCTGTGATTTCTATACCCAATAGAATGGCTTTGATCAAGCCCAGTTGTTTAAATTGCGTGTGTGTGTGTGTGTGTGTGTGTGTGTGTGTGTGTGTATTTTATTATTATTTGTGGGGGGCTGAGATTGAACCCAGGGCTTTGTGCATGCAAGGCAAGTACTCTACCAACTGAGACATATCCCCAGCCCTACAAGATAGATTTTTAAATTGCTGGTTGTTTGAATGTGGATAAAATGGGGATAAAAACACCTGTCTTAAGTATATCATTTCTGGATACTATGTTGATTAGTCTTCTAAAACAGAGCCAAAACTAGAAAAAAAATCTTTTTCTTGAAATTGTTCATATTAAAGAAGAAACACCTTTAAAAATATTCTTCTATAAATAGAAGATAGCACCAAAGTTTAAAAACTACCTGTGGAGTAGTTTGACTGGAGGACTCTACTCCAATCTTTTCTGCTAGACAGAAAGCAAGAGGTTCACCCTCTAGAGATTTATCTTCACTACTACAACTAATAAATTGGTTAATCTTGATGTCCAGTTCCCAACACAGTGGCTGGGTTCACAGCCCAGTATTCCTAAAGTGTTGCCCACTTTAGGAATACTGGGCTGTGTGAATACAGATTTCTATTAAGTTTTTATTTCTTCACTTTTGCCACACAGTTTTCTTCTGGGTAGGACCTTGCCCATGAGAGAAAGACAAAACCTAAACAAATCTGAAATAATGAGCAGGACACAATAAATAAAAAATAATCAAGATCACCTTAGAGAAAAAGATATTATAACCATTAAATTATAATAGGATGCAATCAGAGATAGATGAAAAATAGCTTTTAAAGAATTTGTTTTACTAGAATAAAAAAGTAGAAACACTGTGAGATTAATAGAAAGAAATCTCTCTTAAAGTAGAGAAAAAAAAAACAATCTAGCCAGGCACCATGACCCATATCTGTAATTCCAGTGCCTTGGGAGGCTGAGGCAGGAGGATTACAAGTTTAAGGCCAGCCTCAGCAACTTAGCAAGGCCCTAAGCAACTAAACAAGACCCTGTCTCAAAATAAAAAGTGGTGGAGATTAGCTCAGTGGTAAAGCACCTCTAGGCTCAACCGCCAGTACCCCCCAACACACACCAAAAAACAATCAATCCAGAAAATCCACTTTTTCTTCAGTGAGTAAAAAGAATGTAAGAGACTAAAATAATAATAGAAATTTTCCAGGGCTGGGGATATGGCTCAAGTGGTAATGCGCTCGCCTGGCATGCGTGCGGCCCGGGTTTGATCCTCAGCACCACCTACAAACAAAGATGTTGTGTCCGCCAAAAAAAACTAAAAAATAAATATTAAAAAAAAAATTCTCTCTCTAAAAAAAAAAAGAAAAGAAAAAGAAATTTTTTCCTCAAATTAAAAAGTATTGACCTCCAGATTATAAATGTTCTAAAGAAGACAGTAAACTGAATTTAATGAATAAATTCATGAAGTCCTCTTACCATGAAGTCATATCATTATGCATTGTGCAGTTCCACTTATCTGGTATAAAGAGAAGTTCTTAAAAGTTTCTAGAGCAAAATGAGGTTCAAAGGAACAGGACTTAACAACGATAGAAATTCTCAGCAAGATTAGAAGCTATAAGATAAGGGGAAACCACATTCTTGAAAATTTTGAGAGAAAATTATCATCAACTTGGAATTCTATTTCTAGACAAACAGTAAAACAAAAGGGAAAAGTGTTATTTTCATACATGCAAGGTTGATCAGTGAAATATGTTTTCCTCCTAGTAATAGAAAAATCTATTAAATGCTAGGCCTGGTGGCACATGCTTTATAATCCCTGCAACTCAGGGGATTGAGGCAGGAGGTTGACCCTGTCTGAAAATAAAAAGAATTTGGGATGTAGCTTAGTGGTAGAGTGACCCTGGGTTCATTCCCAGTTGGGAGTAGAAGGGGAAGTAAAGAAAAGCCATTAAACAGTGGCTTAAACAATTATAGAATCATTTCTCTCACAGAATAAGAAATCCAGAGTTAGATTGTCTGGCATTAATGTAGTGATTCAACAGTTTCTGTTATGCTCTTCTTTAACATGAAGCTGTAGCCTCATGCCAGCAAGTTGTGTGAACTACCTCAAACATAATTCCTTTGTTCCAGATAAGAAAAGAAAGAAACAAAGCAAAACCTGCCCAGCAAACTCTTTGTGGTACTCTGCATACATTTATTTCATTGACTAGAACTGTGAGACCTGGCTTCAGTAAGTCTAGGAAAGCAAGTATTTAGCATTTCCAGTCTTCATGTAGTACACTGGGGGTAGTGGTTTGGAAATGGCTATTAGATCATGCAGTTAGTGGTGTCTTAAGCAGTCTTTCTTGGGATGTTAGTACACCTTATACACTAATAAAAATCAGTAAAAGTAGCAAAAAGAAAACATAGGAGCTGGGAAAAAGAAGATCCAATACAGGAAAGCAACAAAGGGGCATCCCAAGATGACACTTGCACAGTGAACTTAATGAGTATCCAGTTCAAACTAGTACAGGATAACAGAGAATAGACCTTTTTTTTCCTTACCAAAAATGAGGTTTATAGAGCCACTGCAGTTGCAACCGCAACCATAGCCTCTGGCAGCAGCTGCCTGGCTGCCACTTGCCTGCTGTCATGTGCCTTTCTGCTGCAACAGAATGCAATTTAGCATTGTTCCAGTATAGCTTTCTAGAGATATCTCTATGGTGATAAAAATACAAAGGTCGTTTGCCAGGGTTTCACAGGTAAGCTGGGCACCTTTCATAGCTAGCCTGCAGGCATTGGACTATGGCACCAAACTCAGTGAAGGAACCACTCCAGGGAAAGGAGGCAAGACACATCTGGATTTACCTGACTTTAATACTGTGAAGGAGGCCAAAGAACAGACAGGAGCAACAGCTTCTGTCATGTATGTCCCTCCTTCTTTTGCTGCTGTGGCCATTGATGAAGGTATTGCAGCAGAACTGTCCTTGGTTGTGTGCATTACTGAAGGTATTCCACAACAGAATATGGTAAGGTTCAAGCACAAACTGTTAAACCAGGGAAAAACAAAGCTAATTGGGCCAAACTGCCCTGGAGAATGCAAAATTGGCATCATGCCTGGCCATATTCACAAGAAAGGAAGAAAAGGTTTTGTGTCCAAATCTGGCATCCTGGCTTATGAAGCACACCAAACAACACAAGTTGGATTGGGGCAATCTTTATGTGTTGGCATTGGGGGTGATCCTTTAATGGAACCAGTTTTATTGACTGCGTTAAAATCCTTTTCAATGAATCAGCCACAAAAGACATCCTATTGGTTGTTGAATTGGTGGTAATACAGAAGAAAATGCTGCAGAATTTTTGAAAAAAACATAATTCAGTTCCAAATGCCAAGCCTGTAGTGTCCATTGCTGTTTTAACTGCCTCCAGGCAGGAGAATGGTTCGTGTAGGAGCAATTATTGCTGGAGGAAATAGTGGAGCTAAAGAGAAGATTGCTGCTCTTTAGAATGCAGGAGTTGTGTTACCATGTCTCCTGCACAGTTGGATACCACTATCTAGGAGGAATTTGAAAAGAGGAAGATGCCAGAAAACAAAAAGGTCCTGAAACTGTGGAATGAGTCATGATAGATTTATGAACCATTGAAGTTTACTTCTGTTGTCTACCAATTGTCAGCCTTTGTGCCTGGCCTTGGTCTTTCATCAAAACAGGAAGCCAAAGTAAAGTTTTAGAATGTCCTAAATTGAGATATTTTCACCTGTTGTATAACAGGGACAGCCATTTGATTTGAGGTTTCTAGACAAAAATAGACTAAAAGATGTGCTTAAGCTTTTGGAATAAAAAGGTAATTAGGTAGTTAGCATTATCTGAGAAAAGACAGGAACACACACACAAAAAAGGAAAAAATTTGTAAGAAAGGGGACATCATCACATAAATTTATTAGCTGTACAAGTGAGTAGTATTTCTCTAACCATAATTGTGCAAAAACTCCAATAAGTTTAACCAAAAAAGGGATTAAAATTTAGTGGGAATCTTAAAACGGGAAGTCATTAGGTGATGTCTAAAATAGTAACTTTAGCATATATGATTTAGAAGTATGGATCTAAATGGCTAGTAACATTACCTTGTTTAAAACTATTTTTTTTAATTCGTTTATTTTCTGTTGCCATAAGATAGTGTGGAGGCATCTGATTTAATCTTTTACTTCTTCTGGCTTTTAAGAGTTAATTTAGATTCCCAGCATCACAGAGAGAGAGAGAGAGAGAGAGAGAGAAAGGGGTTGATTTTTTAAAAAACTT